AATAAGAATAAGGATATGCAGTGACGTCATTTTGTTATTTTGAATAGAGCACCCTATGATTCCTGACATTTTTGGATTCCTCTCATTATTTTGATTTGAATTCAGGCATTATAACACATGCCTAAAACGAACTGTTCTGTGTTATTCCATATTTTCTGAAGAAATAGGCAGTGCAGGGTATCGAATTCACGCCATTTTCATGTGAATCACAATCTCGAGTGATATGCAGTAATTGAATCATGAATACAAAAGAATGAAAGGGTGTCACTCACAATTATCACACGTGTTCAATAGTTTACAGGATGGACATAAAAATGGGTCCAGGAAATTGATGTTGAACATTGAAAATCTTCATTTCTTTCGAATAAAACCCTCATTTTTTCTTCTGATTCAATTCAATTATGAAATTGAACTATAGTTCTCTTGGCCTTCCCTATACACGAAATCCTTAATTTTTCAAATATTTCATGAATATACTCAATTCTGCATAACCTCCTGAAACCCTGAATATTTCTAGCAGGCTATACAAATTAATCGAATGACCGAATGAATTGAAGTTATTCACTGTGTGATTTGTCATATTATTTTGGAAGGCTATACGACACACTATCCGCAGCTACGAAATCCGCGACATTCATTCCGCGACGTTATATCCGCGAGTCATTATATCCGCGACATTCAATCCGCGACGTTACATCCGCGAGCCATTAAATCCGCGAGTCATTATATCCGCGACAATATATCCGCGACATTATATCCGCAACATTATATCCGCGACATCACATCCGCGACGTTATATCCGAAACACAGATATTTTTTATTGAATTCAATTCGAATTCAATATCATAATTTTTAATACAATATATAATCATTGACAATGCATACCTAACCTCTCTGACCTCAAACCTCTCAGACAAAATAAAAGGAGCGAATCCTCGCTGCATTTTGAACATAATTGTAGGATGTTTTCTGTTTCGAATGTCGCTAGGTTTTTAAAATACACGGTGTTCAAATTTTGTTTTCGAATCGATTATTTTATTTTCATGTCAGACTTTCTTCATCACCTAATTTTATTGGAATTTGATAACGTTATCAATAGTTATAAAGGCTTAATCAGCTATTGATAGAAAATAATGAGCTGATTCATTTGATGGCGGAAACATGGTATAAAATTGTGTAGAATAGTACTTCACTTTCGATTCAAAACCAAAATTTGAACATATTGTATTTTGAAGACTAAGCAACATTCTAGAAAAACTATTTTACATTTTTATCTTCAAATCAAGTATAGAATTGCTACTCTCATCTTGCCAGAGAAATAAGGAAACACCCTATATATAGTATACAAATAGAAAACATCAGAAATATCACGAATTATCTATCAAGATATAGATGAAACGAGGGGAATTTTTTTAATATAATCCAATACCTTGTCCTTATCGTATTCAGCAGCTATATATTTTGATTTTCTGTTTCACGTACGGTATTAATGTTACTGCGCGACCACAACCTCTGCACCAGTATTTATTTGTGTGATGGATAGTTCAGTTGAATTTTGTTCCAGTTTATTCGCATTCATGAAGCCACCGATATGTACATGATTGCATCCAACACGATTATTTAATCCCTTATGCCATCCTTCCATACTGTTATCAGAACGGATTCGATCTTCAAAAATTCAGGTATAACAGTTCCAAATCGATATATCGAAGTGTGGTGCCCTACGGCGATGACGGTTTCGAGATTCTAACACAATCCATGTTTCTCCAAAATACTCTAGAACCGGGAACAAATGCTAATGCCATCAGTTTTTTTATATTGAGTGTAAATTAAGCATCCCTGTTATACCGATTCTGTAGCCCACAACCTCGAATACGGCGCCACAAACATTGACCAAAGTGAAAAAGACAACCAGAAATCTCAGTTTTTCGGAAATGCAGTTTGAATGCATTCATGACCGCCAATTCAAAATCGATCATTTACCACTTCGGCTTCAGTGTTTCATCAATATTTTTCAATTGCTTAAGAAACGCCGAGTACGTTTTCTCAGTTTCATAAGGAGCTATCTTATCAATTTAAAATAGGAACCTGTCTTTTTGTCAGAAGATGTCTGTATCACAACATGACACGAAAGTTTCGAATACTGCTCACACTGCCAAGTTATTGTACCACATGCATTTTCACTTTTTCGTGTATAGATATATCCATCGTGAACTAGCATTCGATTACCGTATTGTGATCGAATGAAATTCAACGGCATTGTTGAAGAATTGGGAATCAGTAAAGCAGTACGATCAAACGGAATCTGAATAACCAGTTTACACACCGACAGATAATTTACTACATTTCAATCGACTACAAATAGGTGAGCAGAAGGGATAGAAAACAGAATGATGCATAGCGGTTTGGATATTGACAAGCGGATATAATAACGCGGATATAAAACCACGGATATAATCTAGTGCGCATACAATATATTTAGTCTCGCGGATATAATGGCTATGGATCAAGTGACATGTTACCTTTTGAAATGACATCTTTCAATATAATGAAGTACAACAGTAAATGTGCAATACCGATTCAGGACCATTTTGGCCACTGTTTTCATTTCATCCCCAAATCATCATTTTCATGAAATAAAATATTTTTGATAATTATTGATAACACAAGGATGTATCAGATACTATAAATGCATGGAAAAATCAATATTACAGATTACCCAACTCCCAGATACGAAAGCTATCATTATTTTTTTCAGTTCCATTATACTGATCTGTGTAACTTAATTGGTCAAAATATTAGTATTTCTGCGATTGTTGTTTCATTGTTGGTCGAAGGATGATGAGTGAGATCAATAGGTATTCATTATACAAGGGAAAAAAAGTAGTAGATTTTAGCTTCAGGTTGTGTTGTCTCCCAAAGCTAGCGGAGGAAGAAAAAAACCGTGAGCTGAAATCTAATATTTTTTCCGTGTAAAATACACTATTTTTGTCCGTGATAGAAAAAGGGACGAATCAATATTGCGAAGATATAACATTATATTGAAATTAGAAAATTATCGTTGTGGAATTCGAAGTTTTCAACAGGAATTACACCTGCGTTGCAGGCATCTTTTCGCAGGCATATTCATCATTCTTTTGGAGTTATCAAATTCTTGTCAGTCTAATTTTGTGTTCTGATTCTGAAAAATTGCGAACTTAGTGGTTGTTTAGTAATTTACGTAACCGCGAAGTGGAATGCAAGATAAAAAGGCTTTCAGTTATCTCTCGGACACGGTGTTATTGCCTTATATTTCGGAACTGTCAAAACAAAAGCCATCAACAGTGCATCTACAGTGTGTCCACCTTAGGAACTTACCACCCCTGTAAAATCGTTATTATCTTGCCGATTTCAAAAAACCTTTTTTTCTGTTGGAGAGGTATTCGAAATGTCCATTTAACAAGAGAATGATTTTATTCTTGGACTGTTATCGTGGCCAACTGCGACCAGCTTCATTGACCCATATTTCAGAAAGTACTATTAGGGAGTTTTAAAAAAAAATGATGAAGGATTCTGAATCACGATCACTTAAAACATACCTGTACCGTTTCTCATCATTATTGAACATAGGGTGTCCAAAAGAACGAATTATTATTTGTTTTTTGAATACCTCATCAGAAAATTTAGTACTGTGATATTTTTGGTGGAAATTCATGACACATCATCATTGAGGACTAATTCGAAAATATCTGTACCGAATTTTATCATTCAAATATACGATATGAATGAGAAAAAAATTAAAAAGAATAAGTAGGTAATATTTTATCATCAATTCAAAAAACTTATAATTTGACTTATGGATACCCTGTGTTTGACGATGATGAAAATCGGTACAGATATGTTTCAAGTGATCCTGATTCATAATTATTCTTCGAGTGAAGAATTATTATGATAAAAAATATTGCTACATATCCTTTTTGATTTTTTTCTCAAACACATTGTATATTCGAATGATGAAAATTGGTACAGATATATTTGAAAGTAATACTCAATGATAATTTGTCATTGGTTCTTTCTGAAAATACGACAGTAGTACATTTTCCGATCACCTATTCAAAATGAATAATAATTCGTTTTTTCGGACACCCTGTGTTTTCTGATGATGAAAACCGTATGTTTCAATTGATCTTGATTCAGATTATATCATTATTTTTTTTTTGAAAAAATCCCTAATAGTACTCACCAAAATATGGGTCATTGAAATTAGTCGCAGTGGGCCGTGATAACCTCCTAACAATAAGATCACTCTCTTGATGGATGGACATTTCGAATACATATCCAACAAAAAAATGTTTTTCGAAATCGGTCAGATAATAACGATTCCAGAGGGGTGGTAAGTCCTTAAGGTGGACACACTGTATGTATCCAGGTAAAAAGTACTCACTTTTTTGCGTGGGAAAATAATAATTCAGAAAAAGTGACATCTTCTAACCTGTCAACGAAGATTAAATATCTTTTTTCGGTCACAGAAGAAAAATATTTGTTCCTCTGTGCATAGGGTAGTGTTTTTCAAGGTTATTACATCAAAGACATCAGAAGTTTTCGCATCTGGTAGTTGAAGCCCAAATTTGACTATTGTGTAAGACTCCATTATACTCAACCCATTGATATTCAATATGATTTCGATATAGTGTTTTTCCATGAAACGAAACTAAAGAAAATTGCATAACCTGTTTCAATTTTGAGAAAAATTAAAAAAAAAAAACGATTCCAAAATTGTAACTTCAGGGCCGTGTAACAGCCAAACAGCGGAATTTCATTGAGGTAAGTGTTCTAAACTCGACTTTTCTCGTGAGGAATATGTAGTAGGTTTCTTTAAAATATGTCACTAATCCCTGGAAAAACTCCACCTAATTATTGCTAGTTGACTCTTTTCATAAAAATGTATCGCCCAATGAAACATTGTGCCCCATCAAGAGCAGATTTGTCTTTTACAAGTTTTCATTGATTTTCACTTGCAGGTACTAATGAAACAATAAACAACTGTAATGTGATCCTTTACTTAGAGATTTTGGAGAAGAATATCCAAGAAGCTCTTGTTAGTGTTTACTACAAAGAGAAACATTTGGTGAGTACCTGATTCATCTGATTACTTTTAGTTAAATGGAAGAGTATTTCTAGGGACTGAAACTATGTGTTCAAATTCACATTTGGCATCAAGTTTTGAATAATTCTACTTTGGTTTGTTGTTGAATACATAGCAAATAAAGGAAAATATCATGCACATTGTCACATCATAACAATTTGCGAAGAAAAAACGGCACATAAAAACTACTTGACTCCTTCCTGACTGCTTTCCAATTATTTCTTGGTTGTTGTCACATGAGAATAATATGCAGTAAAATAGCGAGCGATACCTGGTAATATACAATGTTACATTGTGAGATATTTTCTGAAGCTACTTAGCGGGTCGCGGTCTGGAATTTTCTGCCGTGGTAAGGAAGCATCTTGTAGATGTTCCTCTCTTTCTTTCTTCCGGATGCTATGGTAGACACCTAGACACTAAAGGTGTTTTACGCATATTCAAATTGCAAGCTCACCGGTTATTCAAACCAACAAAACTTCATCAAAATTGCAGCTAAGAGTACTAATGAATGTACTACAAACAGAGGATACCAACTTAGAATGCGTGCTCGCAAGCTATCAATCGTGCACCACAATGATCAAGTGATACGTCACGCTTAGATCAATAACGGCTGGAACTGCTGGAAGAGAACAATTAATCACATCCTCAGATATACAAAAATATCTTGTATACAGAAGATACATACATAATATGCGTGCAGGCAAGTTTTTCATCCTAATACGTCACCTAACTTGACTCCAAAGTTCCCAGTCCTCTGGGTCCGAGGCGGGTCCTTCTCTCCGTCGGAACGCCTCGTCTGCTTTCGATTCCGCCTCGTCATTGGTTCGTTCCTCTGGTCTGCTGGCCTCGCGTGTATGGCCTGCTATAGTTCAGGCACTAGGTAGGTTCTGACAAAAGGTCAAAGAAAGTTCTGATTTGGTGGGTTTGTACAGATCGGTCTCCCTATTAATATTTCGATTTTGCGACCTTGAGCAACCGCCGCCATATTGGAAAAATGATAAAGAAAACTAGTTTTTCGAAAATATTGCCTGTCCATCGCTAACAAAAGATCCAGAATAGCTATTGAAAAATTCATAGTGCATTGAATTTTCTAAAATTTTTAGAAATTCTTCTTGAATAGTTGACGAGTCACAGCTGGATCAAGCTACGCAAATATTTATAATTTGCAAAATCGACACATTTCTGCTAAAAATATCAGTAAAAGCCGATTATTTAATTGTTCCTAATATTTTTCACTTATTTCAGCACTACCACGAGAGTGAAAAGCGCGTTTTTTATGTGGTATCCCCAGTCACAAGACCTTATCTACGATTCGTCATTCACCCAGTTAGTGCAAAAACATGTTCTTTGAGAGTTATTTGGGCTTTACATGTACCGCCAATTGTATGCGAGATTTTAGTAGAACATCTCTGGTATGACACAAGATATTTCGTTGTAATGTTTGAGAGTGACATTGAGAGAATCTCCTGATGAAACCTTCCTGATATATTATATGTAACATGTACGGAATGATTACGAGTAACATTTGTGTGATTCTCAATCTGATATCACAAGATAATATTGAATGATTCTTCAGATTTTTCAAACTAGATCTCTGTGTTTATCGGTCTGTCAAGATTATATAATATGTCACGTGATATGTCATATGTATGTCAACTCGGTGAATAATTGATCTCCTGATGAATCTATAATTTTCATGTACAAGTGAGGTTTCATATTGGATTTGTCACGTGTTCAATCTGTGTAAAATCTGTGCTCAACCAGTAAATAATATCCTGAACCCAGAGGATGTTGACATTTTGTGACAAAGCGCACGTTTATTCCCAGTCTGCAAACATTTCCTCCTATGATTCATCATTTAATTGTCTGTTGAATACTTTATGCAACCTGTTCAACGATTTGCAAGATGGATGGGTGTATTCAATCTCACACAATGTATATGGAATATTCTTTGTTGAATATCTCGGCAGTTTTTGCGATATTTTCAGTAGTGAATTCGTAGTGATAATATCTAGAACTGAATACATAAATATATACACTGCACAGTGTAACTTCATCATTCCATCAGGTGGAGAAGAAGAAACTGAGGATCGATCAGATGACCATCATGGAATTGAAGACAGGTCCAGTGATTCAACCAATAGAGAGAATAGTTACTACTAATCCTTGTCCACTGTGAGTATTCCAGAAGATAACGGGTCTCCAACAACTCTTGATTCTCGAGTGCTCTTTTCCAAACATTCCGGAGATACTTAATTGCATAGTAATTTGTCACGTAGTTTAGAGTAATTGTTTGAGGCCCGTTATCACGCACGATTATTGAATTTTCCATTGTCATCATGAAATTTGATTCATCTTCTTCCAATATATGATTCCGAATATTCCAACACTGAAACACCCATGCAATACTACGTTTCATTCACAACCACGTGCACTTAGAATCAGAACATTCGATAATTCTCATCCAAAAATGATTTGACGTTTTTCTCTGGCAGCGGCTGTCATCTCCTCAAAAATTATTACAGGGATTTCCTCCGGTGCGCTCCAAGAAAAAATATGAATGAAAGATTTCAGGTGGTACTGAATTATTACAGTAATTATTTTTCATATTTACTGGTGGTGAATAAAGTGGTACTGTATACGATTCATGAACTACGTTTCATTCACAACCACGTGCACTTAGAATCAGAACATTCGATAATTCTCATCCAAAAATGATTTGACGTTTTTCTCTGGCAGCGGCTGTCATCTCCTCAGAAATTATTACAGGGATTTCCTCCGGTGCGCTTCAAGAAAAAATATGAATGAAAGATTTCAGGTGGTACTGAATTATTACAGTAATTATTTTTCATATTTACTGGTGGTGAATAAAGTGGTACTGTATACGATTCATGAGTGTGGATTAAACTGCAATAATTATAATGTGATTTTAGATGGAGTAATTATTTCAGTTTTTAACGTCGACCTCAATATATCAGAATCGATTTGGAAACGATTAGTTCAGTCAAGTATAATTTATTGATTATTTCAATGAATCATCTATCGATTAGTTAGTACAATGATGAAATGTTTCTCTTCATTAACATTGATCACAAAATTTTCATGATTTGTAATAGTATTTTCCGAGTTCCAACAGATGTGGTGGTAACAATTGCATCAGCTTCTCATTATTATCATGGATATAATCTTTGTTTACTCAAGATGTTTCCACATCACTTCCAGCTGAGCAACTGGATTCTCACCCATTTGGTCTCTACCAATTATGCATATAAAAACATTCTCTACCCACGGATGGCATCTTTGAACACTGAAACTTGTCAACCTTCAAGAGTAAGATCTGCTGATTCCTGTTCCTCTTCAGTAGTAGAGTCCGACCACGATCACTTTGGGACAGCACGTGGTCGCGTATGCATTGAATATGCATATGCGTTGCGTCACATGCTGTCCCAAAGTTAACGTGGTCGGACTCTAGTTTCTAGAAATCTGTGATCTTCTTTCGTCATTTTTTTACTTTGATTTTGAGGGATATGAAGTGGTGGATATGAAAGTGCTTCAAATGGGATGCTGATATCCCACCAGCCCTGATAGGAAGACTGATTATAATGAAGCTTGTAACAAAAATAGTTTTCAGAGTGCCCCGTTCATTCCAAAAAAACTAGACACTGGCTAGCTCAGTGGGCGGTGGGTGAGTGAGTGAAGTTGATGTGAATGAAAGTGGTAGACAGTTCGATGTGTAGAGACTTCAATGCAACAAATCAACAAGCGCTATTCATGTAGTTGAAGTTACCATTTTGGCCCCTATTTATGCGGAACAAGCAGGTGAGTTCTTCCCCTATTGACAGTTTACATTATGTAACAGTGTACTGTACCCTATACCTCGGTGATCACCTCAGTTCACATAGGACTTCTACTCAATAGATTTGTCAAAATCTCGTTGATTGATTGTACAATTCCTCGAAATAAAACGCTTACCAGAGAGCTGGATACAATCATTGTGTGTTACGTTCCTACTCAACTTCGATTTTCTAAAAAGGTCAGTCCACGATGACTCAAAGCAGTAAGATACGGTGAATGTTATGTTGAACACTACAGGCTAGCCAACATCAGCTATTTAGTTGGACTTCTTGTTCGACATTCAAAGAATCAATCATACAGAGGACAAAACTCGTAACTCCAACTTGATACCTTCGCTTCTTGACAGAAGGGTGTCGGAGAAAAACAAACACGAACACAGTTAACGTGGACAATGCAGGAAAACCAAGAAACTCTAACCTACAAAAAGAGAAACACTCGTGAACCTATTCACATCTTGGGTGTTGAGAGACAGTATCTTTTGAGTAGTACCTGAAATGTTATATACCTTTGATGGTGTGTGGTGTACACGTGGTGATGAAAAGGGTTGGCGAACAAAGATACAATGATCCTCTCCCGAATTTTCTGACTCCCATATCCAGAATTAAGTGGATGAAGCCTCTCTCAATCCCACAACTCGTGGAAGACAAATGAACGGATTACGATAGGCGATACTTAACGAAAAAAATAACTCCAATCCTATCCTACGTTTCACCGTGTTTGATCATTCCGAATTCACCCGACAGTTAACGAAAAATCAGAAGCAGAGAGAACAGAAGCGAATGAAACAGATAAAGGTTCTACTTCTTTGTCTCACGTCGACTCTTGACGATCTGCTGTTCAGTTTAATAACCTTCACCGTGAAACTAGATTGAGACCAAGTAAATAAACATTGCATCTGGAGAAATAATATCATTCTCATCGAAAAGAGTGGCCTGACGAAGTGACTGTGACATTCACTCATTCACTCATCATGAACTACTTGTGGAGTGTTTCTCGTTCTCGTGAAATAGGCCCAGTCAACTAGTTTCAAGAACAGAATATCTGTTTCGAAAAGTGGCGAACAGCTCCCAAAATACTTGAGAAAATTCAATTCCTTTATCGATGCTTATGGTGTCGTCAGGCTGGGCGGTCGTTTTGTGAACGCCGATCTACCCTACGCAACAAAACACCCCGCTCTACTAGCTCGTAATCACAGACTCAGTGATATGATAATTGAGTAGGTCCCTAATACCAATTTTCATATCAGTCAACACACTTCATTTTCCAATGATGCAAAATTTTTGGATTTTGTCTCCAAAACGAGCAATTCGAGTCCTCTCTCGATGTTAGGGGAGTTTACGAAAAAAAAACCGTCTCCAACAGTACCTTACATGGGTAATTCACTCACTCCTTGCGTAAGTCTGATAAAACCCTTCTCATGCACTGGTGTTGACTACGGAGGTCCTTTTCAAATAACCATAGGAAGACATAGAGGTGCGACATCTCAGGAATTGTACATCTGTTTCTCTGTCTGTCATTCCACGAGAGCTATTCATCTCCTCAGAATGTTTCATTGCGGCCCTTTTCCGATTCATAGTACGTCGTGGACGTTGCGATACAATTCGGGCGAATTGCGGCACTAATTTCATTGGCGCAGAATGAGAGCTTTTAGAGTTATGCAGACAGCTACTGAAGCTGAAAAAAATAACTTCACTCAAATTCCTACAATGGCACCACATTCCGGTGGAATTTGGGAGATGGGACAACAAATCCGTCAAGACTCACTTATTGAGGATCGTTAAAAATCAGATTTTGACCTATGAAGAGTTTGTGACTGTCTTGGTTCAAAATGGTTCTAGACATTTTAAATTTTTCTTGACCACCGAATACTACAGGAGTGAAAAGATGCATTGGTTTATGTTTGTAAAGAAGGTTCATTCCAGAGTTTTCAGCATTACTGACACCTATAAATATTCTTTTGAAGAATAAGAAGATAGGACAAAAAATTAAACGGTCTGAGGCAGTAGATATGGCTTTTCAGAGTATAAAAAATGTATTACTATCTGCACCTGTCCTGGCTAGCCCATATTCTCCATTTACGATTCGTTATATAATGTGATGCGTCAGACACTGGTTCAGATGGTGTATTAACTCAAAATCAAAATAATGAGAAAAAAAATATAGCCTATGCGTCTCGAAATCTGTCCGAAAGTGAAAGAAATTATAGTACGACTACGAAGGAAACCTTGGCTTGGCGAGAAATTTCGTCCATTTGTGGAAGGAGGCAAATTTACTCTTGTCAGTGATCATGCATCCCTTGAGTTTTTTCTTAAAATGAAAAATCCCAAGGCACACTCGCCTGCTTGGAGTTTGCAGTTTGATTTTGATATTGCTTATGTCAAGGAAGCATCGAATGTGATTCCTGATATTTCATCTTCTAGTCCGGTTGATGCACCATTGGAAGACTCTAAGAACTCGAATGATTCTGGAGAAATTTGTGTCATGAATGAAAATTGCATTTCCCTAGATATTGATCTGACCAAATGAAATTCATTTCACGAGAATATTTGTACGAAAATTCTAAGTAAACCTGATGAGTATACTCAATGAAGAAGGTTATGTGTACAAGTTAATTCCGTCAAAATCGGATATGGACTCTATTGTTCCTGAGTGGAAGTCGTTGGTTCCAAACAGTCAATCAATCAAGATTAGTCTCAATTCGAAGATGATGAGGATTAGTAAACAGGAAAATTGGGCTCATTTCAGAATTGGAATAGTTTTGGTGTACATATGAATTCCGAGTATGAAAAATAGTCATATTCCAATGCTTATCTTTTATATCCTAGGAAGGGGGTAAATGACACATGAATATTTGCCTTCGCATGTTCCATAGTGTGAATTCTATATATTGGTATGGAGGAAGTCTTGTGGAGATGCACTGTGTAACTTGATGATTTCTTTTCTAGCTCGTTGGGTACCTGATATGATTCCATGTTCATAAATATTTTCATTTTCATTTTCGATGTCCATGACTAGAAGACATTCAGGTTAGTTTCGCCCACTTCGTATTCAACCTTCACATTTTTCTCATGCCTACAAACACAGTAGTGTATCTATATCTCAGTCTTCATAATAATAATAATAATATCGTTATTCCTCGAATTGAAAGGTATAGTTGTTGCAATAATGTTACAATGTACAGTATTTGGAGAAGTGTCGTCATAAGCATAGCATGGATAAGAGAATGTGAAGTCGGACAAAACTAACAAGTAAACAGGTAGATATGAAATTATTTGATCGATTTGTCATCATAGCAATATATAGTGCCC